TTTTTTTTTTTTTTTTAATCTTCCCTCTGCTAAGACCAGAGTGATTTCAGGCAAGGTTTTTTTTTTTTTTTTTTAAAACCATCCCTCCGTAGTCCGCCTCCCCATCTGTGCCCGAGTTTTTTTTTTTTTTTTTTGATGCCATTGTGATTGCTGCTTGTATATTATTAAAATATTTTTTTTTTTTTTTTTTTTTTTTGGTCTGAAAATTAAAAGGACTTCATTTAGGAAAAAAAATTTTTTTTTTTTTTTTTTTTTTTCTGTAACATCTTTCTGGTGAACCACAGAAGGCATGGTACTGAGGAGACCCTTGATGCAAAGGAAATAGACTGCAGCACTGATTGGCGGACTTTGGGTAATTTTTTTTTTTTTTTTTTGGTAAAGAATGGGATTGGGTTAGAGGCTCAATTTAAAGGAGTTTTTTTTTTTTTTTTTTTATAGTGGGTTGGAGCCCCCTCTTAATAAAAGACAAGAACGCTTGACCAGCTGGGTTAGAGACCCGACTTACGAGGGTTAGAGTCCCTTCTAAGATTTAGGGGGTTAGAGGTCCCTGTCGGTAAAGTCCCTCTTGGTAAGGTCCTTTGTGGCTAAGAACGAATTTTTTTTTTTTTTTTTTTAACTGCTATTCTCTTTGAAATAATCTGCTTTGCACTCTTTGCTTTTTTTTTTTTTTTTTTGGGGTAATACAAAAATCTGGATCAATATTTAAATTCTGAGCATTTTTTTTTTTTTTTTTTCAACCCTATATCAGCTTGGTTTTAACAGTTGCCCAGTTCATGTTTTTTTTTTTTTTTTTTTTTACTTGGGATAATTTTACTTATTTTGCTTTACTGTTGTGGTTTTTTTTTTTTTTTTTTTCTTTGTGTAGGAATGCAGGATAAGCTTACTGAATGTTTTCTTTTTTTTTTTTTTTTTTTATCTTCCAGATATCAACTTTTGTCAGAACTCAAGAGTAATGGTTTTTTTTTTTTTTTTTTATGCTTTCTGACTGAGCTCCTCCCTGCACTGAATACAAGAGATTTTTTTTTTTTTTTTTTAATATCGTCACTCCTATTCAGCCTGAAGAAGTTACAGAAAACTTTTTTTTTTTTTTTTTTAACCCTTAGGATTAAGTGTTCTCTTATAAAAGGGAGGGGCGAAATGTCAGAGGCGTGTGAACCAGAGCAGCTGCATCTTGAATAGGAGGTGGGTAAAATGAGGCTGGGACCTACTGGGCTGCATTCCCAGATGGTTAAGGCATTCTAAGACACAGGATAAGATTTTTTTTTTTTTTTTTTTACAGGTCATAAAGACCTTGCTCATAAAACAGGCTGCAGTAATTTTTTTTTTTTTTTTTTACCAAAACTGAGATGGTAACAAGAGTGACCCCTGATCATCCTCCCACCAGCACCATGACAGTTTTGAAATGCTATGGCAAAGTCAGGAAATTACTCCATGTGTTTTTTTTTTTTTTTTTTTGAATAATCCACCCCTTGTTCGGTATATAATCAAGAAGTAACTTTTTTTTTTTTTTTTTTGCAGCCCTTGGGGCTGCTCTGTCTATGGAGTAGCCATTCTTTTTTTTTTTTTTTTTTTTTTAAACTTACTTTCACTTTACTGTGTGGACCTGCCCTGGATTCTTTCTTGTGTGAGATTCGACCCCTTTCCTGTAACACAGTCACTGTTAGCACGGCTTGTCATTTTTTTTTTTTTTTTTTTTGAGGTGCCCTTGTTTATTGACTGTGTGAGTGAGCTGGTTATTTTTTTTTTTTTTTTTTGATTAACACTTCTTTACCTTGGTTTGAGTGGAGATTCTGAAATTTTTTTTTTTTTTTTTTGCTGGTTCCCTGTTGGACTCTCAATAGGGGCACTAGAGGGAGACTGGGAGGCTGGAGGAGGAAGACAGGACACGCTCACTGATTCCTGTTTCATCCCCTTCCATTGTGAGTAGCCTCAGTGATGCTTTTCACGGGCAACAGTGACTGGTTCCAGTTTGCAGTTTTCCCCACTCTCAGAAGTAGTCTCATTGAGCGACCTCAGAGATATCAGCACCAGGGTCACACTATCCTCAGAGATCTGTGTTCCAGTTCCATGTGGGCCCCTCCTCTGAGCCAGAAAAGTTTTTTTTTTTTTTTTTTTCTCACTGTTAAAAAATGTTACACATATATTCTAGCTAGGTTAGATTAACCAATCTTTATTAAGGAAGAAACTGCTAATTTACCCCATAGTGAAGATTGAGATTTTTTTTTTTTTTTTTTTGACTTATTAAAGACAAAACAAAACAGAATAATATTGGTATTTTTTTTTTTTTTTTTTTTATTTCGAAACTGTATTAATTTCATAATAGCTCTGAAGATAGATTTTTTTTTTTTTTTTTTGGTTCATGGTACCCAAAGACTAAATCTTCCTGGTGGTAGAGGTTTTTTTTTTTTTTTTTTTGGAAATGGGACATGTGACCTAGCCTTAGTAAAATGAACAGGTTTTTTTTTTTTTTTTTTACAATGCTCTTCTATGACAAGCCTTAAGAAATAATATCTTGTTTTTTTTTTTTTTTTTTTAATTTAAAGAGACCCTAATAGTTAGGCAGGAATATCGTCATGCCTATTCAGCTTGAAGAAGTTACTGGTTGGGTCATTAAACTCCTCAGAAAAATAAAGTGGTAAGGATTAGAGAATGCTGCCACGCACTGCACAAGGACGTTTTGGTCCATGGCAGACCGCATATACGGTGGTGGTCCCATAAGATTATAATGTCATAATACCGTATTGCTACTATGCCTCTTCTATGTTTAGATACACAAATACTTGCCATTGTGTTACAATTGCCTACAGTATTGAGGACTGTAACATACTGTGCAGGCTTGCAGCCTAGGAACATGCTTTACTTTAATTTATGTTCAAGTATCATTCTCCCTTAGATTTTGTGAGGTTGAAAGGTAATTGTTTAAACTGGATGTGAATTTTTTTTTTTTTTTTTTTGAGCAAAGTGCCCTCTGTTCCCCTTCCTAATGTTAATAGTCTAGTGCACTCTATGATGTTCCCGCAACACAAAATCACCTAACCACACATTTCTCAGAATGTATCTGTCATTAAGTGACACATGACTATTTACACTGTTGACCTCAAGTACACAAATAGATCTTTTTTTTTTTTTTTTTTTTCATTCTACTTCATTCTAATTTAAATGCAGGTGCTGTCTGTAGTTAGGAAAATGTGAAGGAGCGATCAGCCTCCGGTGATATTCAAGTCTAATTAGAAATTTTTTTTTTTTTTTTTTTTTCAAAGCTCCCCCTTAATCTTCCAGGAACTTAATCCTCCACATTTTTTTTTTTTTTTTTTAAAAATGTACAAAGTATGTATTTCTACATTATGTAGAAAGTATTTTTTTTTTTTTTTTTTGTGTGGAATATTAATTTTGTTGTAAGAAGAGGGATTTATTCATTTTTTTTTTTTTTTTTTATCTGACTCATCGCCACAGAAGTCACACAGGCTCTTCTCTGAGTCAGAAAATGTTAAGACCTTTCTGTCTATTTTTCCTTTTTAGGGACTGCTTGACTACAGCAAAAGGAGGGGCCAGCAGATTTCAGTTCAAGCATGTTTGAAGTCTGTTTTCCGACATTATTTTTTTTTTTTTTTTTTAACATAGTAAAATCTCCACTACAAATGATCTCTATAAAGTGTAATAACATGATTTAAGTTTATTTCTTATTTTCTATATTTTATAAATTGCTACATTGAACATTTTTTTTTTTTTTTTTTAAAGTTAACCTTGAAAATTTTTTTGGTTGTTGTTTTAATTTGTTTTTTTTTTTTTTTTTTTTAGTTGTTCCTATACTTTAGTAGCAATCAATTTGGGTGTAATTTTTTTTTTTTTTTTTTTTCTGTATACCTCATCCCACTCTCTCATGGTATTTGTTACTCTTTTTTTTTTTTTTTTTTCTGATTATTTCGATTCCTTTGAAGAAACCAAGTTACTTTTTTTTTTTTTTTTTTTTTTTTTTTCTATTTAAATTTAAAAATGTTCACCTAGACACTTCCTATTCTAGGTCTCACTTTATGAATTTTTTCCTTGCCCATGTTGAACTCTCAACCTCCAATTTTAGATTTCTTCTCAGACCTGGAAAGCATATTTTTAAGATAAAATTTTTAATCTTTCTTGTGTTTTTTTTTTTTTTTTTTTGCTTTAAGGGGATCTCTAATTTGTAGATTGGAGTTCTATGATTTGTCCTCGCTTAAATTTCTGAGCTCTTCTAAATGTCTTTGTTCATTTTACATTTGGGAATACTTCTGAAGTGAATCCTCTCCGTTACTGATTTGATTTTCACACTGTCAAATCTGTCTTTTTTTTTTTTTTTTTTTAAACCTGCTGGATTTTTTCTTCTTTCTTCAGTGTCTTGAACCTTTTTTTTTTTTTTTTTTTAAGTCTGTTCTTGTTGGGTGGTGGCAGTGTCCCCTCAAATTTTTTTTTTTTTTTTTTTTCCCCTGTGAGCTCCCAGGCCATGTCTGTGGCAATGCTGAGGATTTTTTTTTTTTTTTTTTCTCCTGGTGATGAAGAGGAGGTGCACCCCAGGTCACCAGAAGCCAAGAGAACCGGCGGGGCTAAGCAGGGCAGGATGTAGAAACATGTTCTCACAAAAACCCTTTTTTTTTTTTTTTTTTATACGATTGTCGCCGCCTGTCCCTATGTGGGCCTGACTCTCTTTTTTTTTTTTTTTTTTTTGTGAATGGAGAGGGGGCCTCTGGAGAGCAAAGGGCCCTCTGTTTTTTTTTTTTTTTTTTATGCCTTACTTTGATTTACATTCAAGTATCATTCTTCCTTAGTTTTTTTTTTTTTTTTTTGTAATTGTCGTTATTACCACAGAAAGGAAAACTGGAGTTCAATTTTTTTTTTTTTTTTTTTGAGTCCTGGTCTCTGGATTCTTTTGTTGATGTCAGGAGTCATTTTTTTTTTTTTTTTTTCAGAGCCCAGGCTCAGTGCCTCCCAGGAATGTCCTCACATCCTTTTTTTTTTTTTTTTTTAGCCTCTAGGTGACTGTGGTGCCTTGTAGCTGTCCCGGGAGCCCTCAGCAGCAGTTGGAGTTGGTGCACAGGAGGGATGAGGAAGACCCAGCTCTGGGGGCTTTTTTTTTTTTTTTTTTTCTCAGGTAAGACAAGGAAGAGGAGTGGGCAGGGAAGGCGTTTTTTTTTTTTTTTTTTTTTGCCCTTTTCTGTTGAAGCTTCAGAACACAGGACCATCCAAGATTTTTTTTTTTTTTTTTTATGCCAGACTGTGCTGCTCTACCCAGAATCGGGAGAACGTGCTTTTTTTTTTTTTTTTTTTAAAAGAAGGAGAGAGTCAGGGAAACAAGATGTCTGTGCATGTCGACGTTGTCAGAGACAGGCAAAGTCTGGCATGGGAATAATGATAGAGTAGATCTCATCTTTTTTTTTTTTTTTTTTAGTTTATTTGATGTTGAAATCTTTTTCTTATATTCCATCATGTTTTTTTTTTTTTTTTTTCATTTGATGTTGACAGTCCGTGAAACCCAAAAGGCAGTATTGTTTTTTTTTTTTTTTTTTAGGGGTCTACTATGGGCCAGCAAATATACTACTGCTGAGGACTTTTTTTTTTTTTTTTTTGGCTGGTGCTCATTTTGGTGCGGGCGATCATCCCAGCTCTCCTTTTTTTTTTTTTTTTTTAGGGCACAGTTGCTGAGGCTCAGCAGAGCCGGCCCATGCCCCAGCTCTTGCATGTGTCTCCTCTTATGATCTGCACAGCTCATACCTGCACCCAAACCAGAATTTTTTTTTTTTTTTTTTACTCCTCCTCCTAATCCTTATATTTAGGAGGAAGGATTATGATTTTTTTTTTTTTTTTTTGAATAACAGGAGGAAAGTGTCAATATGAGTTAAAAACGAGGCTTTTTTTTTTTTTTTTTTAAAAATCAGGGAGAGGTATTCTCTTGGGTCCTCTACTTAGAGCAAAGTCATGGACAACTGCCTTGTAGAGCACATGCTCAGACGTTGCTCTGGGGCTTCTTGTTTTTTTTTTTTTTTTTTAGATGGGCAGAAGGGAGTTAGGTCCTCATGGACAAGTGTATTTTTTTTTTTTTTTTTTTTGTTTTTCTGAAGGAGAACTGGGAGACAGCAGAGGGCTGAAGGTTTTTTTTTTTTTTTTTTGAAAACCAGTGGTATATATTTCATTGTGCCCTGTGGGGATAGTTTTTTTTTTTTTTTTTTTGCTCCTTGCAACTGGATGCTTATTTACGCTTGGGCCAGGACTGCTCTAATCCCCATCAGACTGTGTTGGGCCATGCAGCTCAGTGCTTTAGATGGAACCAGAGTCCTTGGGTTTGAATCCTGGCTCTAGCACTTAACTATGGTGAGACTTTGGGCAAATCATTTTTTTTTTTTTTTTTTCAGTTTCCTTATCTATAAAATGGGGAGAATAATGGTGTCAACTTTTTTTTTTTTTTTTTTTAAATAAGATAGTCTTTGAAAACCCTTAGCACATAATACTTATTTTTTTTTTTTTTTTTTCCTTTTAATTAACATATTCAAAGGAATTCCCTTCTTGCAATGTTTTTTTTTTTTTTTTTTAGCCTTCGTTTCTTACTGTCTCCTTCCTTCTGTGAGAGACAGTTTTTTTTTTTTTTTTTTTCACCTGTAGCTCCCACCTTCCCTGGGGAGCTGGCAAATAAATTTTTTTTTTTTTTTTTTTTAACTTCAGAGGTTAGGGCTTCAGTGGTTACAACTTGAGGATTTTTTTTTTTTTTTTTTCAAAGAGTCCAGCACAGTGCCTGTGATAGAGAAGTCTCTCAGTTTTTTTTTTTTTTTTTTGTGAACAAATGAGGGAACCAGGCTTGGTTTCAGACAACACTCTTTTTTTTTTTTTTTTTTTCTTGGAGGGGCACTCCTGACCGGAGTTTGTGGGAGTTGCCCTTTTTTTTTTTTTTTTTTGTTTCCTTAGAAACTGGAGTCTGCTCCCAGAAGAACTGGCTTTTTTTTTTTTTTTTTTTTTTAAAATCCTTGTGAGTCCCTGAGTGGAGTCTTCCTAAGGTCTTTTTTTTTTTTTTTTTTATCCTGGGATGGGCGTGCCAGGGGGCTCCGTGAAAGGGGCAGTTTTTTTTTTTTTTTTTTAGGCCTGCAAGGACCTAAGTGTGTGGTATTAATAACAGCAGTTTTTTTTTTTTTTTTTTTCTCACAGTAAACCCAGCAGCACTGTCCAGCCTGTTATTTGGTTTTTTTTTTTTTTTTTTTCCCTAGGCCTGAGTGCGTAAGCTACAGTTTCTCAGCAACTTAGAGAGCCCCGGGTGTCCAGCTGAAACACGGACCTTGGTCTTCTAACTTCTGCTCTGCTTGTTTTTTTTTTTTTTTTTTTCCCTTGGACAAGGCCAGATGAGCGTTCCCAATTCTAGATGGTTTTTTTTTTTTTTTTTTCAAGAATGTGGTGGAAACCATTGTCACTGTAACCCAGGGGTTTTTTTTTTTTTTTTTTTTGACATTTGGGGTGGGATGATTCTTTGTCGTGGGGGCTGTCCTTTTTTTTTTTTTTTTTTTAGATGTAGTATCCACTAGGTGTTAGTAGCACCCACCTCTCTCTTTTTTTTTTTTTTTTTTAAATGTCTAGATATTGTCCAGGGTTTCAGGGAGAGTTGTGGCAGGGAGCAAAAATTGCTCCCCAGTGGAGAACCACTGCTGTGACTCCGTGACATCAAAAATTTTTTTTTTTTTTTTTTTGTTCAGGTAACTGGAAAGTACAAGGGGTGCTCCTCTGGAGCATTTTTTTTTTTTTTTTTTAGATAACATGGGTTGTTTTTTTTTTTTCTCTCTTTCTCTCTCTTTTTTTTTTTTTTTTTTCTCTCCCTTCCTCTCACTCACTTTCTGCCTGTTTAGCCATTCTTTTTTTTTTTTTTTTTTCATGGAAGAAAGTTTCACATAATAAAGTTTCACATCTCACTGTTTTTTTTTTTTTTTTTTGAAGCATTTCTCTTAATGGCTACAGCAGTCTCAGGGAGGATTCTGATTGGTCCAGCTCAGCCATGTGCTCCTTCCTAAACCAATCAGCCTGGCAAGGCCCAGGCTGGAGTGCAGTGTTGTGATCTCGGCTCACTGTAACCTCCTCCTCCTGGGTTCAAGTGATTCTCCCACCTCAGCCTCCCATGTATCTGGGACTACAGGTGTGCACCAGCATGCCTGGCTTTTTTTTTTTTTTTTTTTTAGAGGCGGGGTTTCACCATGTTGGCCAGGCTGGTCTCAAACTTTTTTTTTTTTTTTTTTTGACCTCCTCATCCTCCCAAAGTGTGGGATTACAAGCGTGAGTTTTTTTTTTTTTTTTTTAGATGGGGTACTTGGATTGGCAAAGCCTGTGTCCTGTGCCCATTTTTTTTTTTTTTTTTTGCCCCAACAGTAGAGCCACACAGGATCGTTCCCTTGGAAAGGTTTTTTTTTTTTTTTTTTAGGAGAAAGGAGTGCCAGGCAGTCAGATATCCATGCCCATCATTTTTTTTTTTTTTTTTTCTCACTGTTTGTCCAAAGGTCTTTTGAACTGATATCCTTGCCTTTTTTTTTTTTTTTTTTCTCAAGCTGTCCTTGGAGCCACTCTCTTCTAGCACTGTGTCTTTTTTTTTTTTTTTTTTTTCGTACACCCTTGTAATTGTTCCCTCCCACCACGCTGCAGCCTTTTTTTTTTTTTTTTTTATGTCCCATGTTCTGTCTCCAGTTGGGCAGTTTCTTCCTCTCTTTTTTTTTTTTTTTTTTATCATTTATGAAATTTGATCCTCATGCACCATATGAAGTCTCTTTTTTTTTTTTTTTTTTCTACTCACAGTGGAAAGAGCTGAGGTCTAGTGCTGGCTTGCAGGGCAAGTTGTATTTTCTCTGGAGGCCTCAAGAACCTTGTCTGAAATATGGGTGTTTGGACAAGAAAAACAGGGGGCTCCTCTCCTTTTTCCCCACCCAGAGAGAGAAAAATAATTCCTCTTTTTTTTTTTTTTTTTTTCCCTGCTTATAGAACTCCGAGCTGCAACTGAATTAACTGAGTTTTTTTTTTTTTTTTTTGAGGGGCAGACCCTGGAGGTAAAATGTGACTACGCACTACAGTTTTTTTTTTTTTTTTTTAAAGCTTGGCAGAAAATGGAGGGAAAGATGCCCAAGATCCTGTTTTTTTTTTTTTTTTTTTCAGAGAATTCCCATCCAGTCCAAGTTGGGAGGATCACACTATTTTTTTTTTTTTTTTTTGGTTTACTGCAGGTCCGAATGACCAACCTTCAAGTGGAAGACTTTTTTTTTTTTTTTTTTGTGATCTACCAGCCTCCCAAGGAATCTCACATGCTGTTTAATTTTTTTTTTTTTTTTTTTACCAAGGGTGAGTGGCCTGGGATTGGTGGGGACAGGAAGGCCTTTTTTTTTTTTTTTTTTTGGTGGCAGCATCAGCAGAGCTGGAGTTCAGGATTCCTAGCATTTTTTTTTTTTTTTTTTAGCTCCTTGTCTCTCATCTGAGGTCCAATAGTAAGTAGAACCTTTTTTTTTTTTTTTTTTCCTTGGATAGCAGAGCCTAATTTGGGGTGCTGTGGTAGGAATTTTTTTTTTTTTTTTTTTAGTGGTAGATTTGGGATAATTTAGTCCCATTCTTTGTTCTCCTTTTTTTTTTTTTTTTTTGACTCCCCCTCCCAAGGATGCATTTGGTGGCATGCCTGTGTACCTCTGAAGCAGCCCCTCTCAGATCTTTCTGTGGGCACAGACCACCTGGAGATCTTATTTTTTTTTTTTTTTTTTTTTGAATAGGTACAGGGTGGGACCCAAGAGTCTGCATCTCTATTGTTTTTTTTTTTTTTTTTTGTGCTGATAGTCCATGGCTCCCATTTTCGGGGAGCAAGTCTCTTTTTTTTTTTTTTTTTTCTATCTCACTGGATAGGAGAGGCCGGTTTACTTACCTGTCCCCTATTAATTTCAGAACTGCTTGCGGGAAGCACCTGTGCCTTCCTGGGTTCTGCACCCTTATTTTTTTTTTTTTTTTTTGACACAAAGTAGGCTCTCAGTAGATGTTACATTAAGGAATGATTTTTTTTTTTTTTTTTTAAGGGAGGCAGGTTCAAGTTCCCAGAACCTGGGGAATTCTAAGCCTGAGGAAGACAAGGTGCATACATAATATATTAATAAAAGATAACTTTTAAAGCAATATTTTTTTTTTTTTTTTTTTGAAAGGCAGGGTGAATCAAGTAAGCCTGGAATTATTCTTGGTTTTTTTTTTTTTTTTTTAACTGGTGAAGAACAGAAGGCAAGTGCATTTCCAACAATACGAATGGCAAAAAATTCCTTTCTTCTTCTCTCTTTCTGCTCTCCCTCACTTCCTGCCCTTTTTTTTTTTTTTTTTTTTTTCAATCTCTGACTCAGGTTGACTCCACAGTATTTCTTTGGTTTTTTTTTTTTTTTTTTTTTCATTTGGGCCATGCTTATTTCCCTCCTCAGCTTCATTTACCATACCACCTACCCGTCCATCAACTCATCCACCTTTTCATCCATACATCCATTCACCCACCCATCCACCCCTTCATCATTCATCTGTCCACCCATCCATCCAATGTGTCTTCTTGCAGGTTCTTTTTTTTTTTTTTTTTTCAGTGAGAATTCTACCCAGAATGTGTATAGGATTCCTCCTACCACTGCTAAGGCCTTGGGCCCACGCTATACCAGCCCCAGAACCGTGACCCAAGCTCCACCCGAGTCAACTGTCGTTGTCTCCACTCCTGGCTCTGAAATCAACCTTACAAATGTGACAGATTTTTTTTTTTTTTTTTTTCAGGCCCTGGGCCCCTGGTTTGGACACTGAGCCCTTTTTCCTTTTTTTTTTTTTTTTTTGGATGTGAAAGTGAGGGAAAGGGGAGGGTGGGGCAGGAGCAGTTTTTTTTTTTTTTTTTTTGGGTAGAAATGTCCAGGGGAAGAAGGAAGTGGTGATGGAGATTTTTTTTTTTTTTTTTTCAGGCTGTCCTTCTCCCCAGTTCACCTTCTTTGTTTCCTTGCTTTTTTTTTTTTTTTTTTAAGGAAATGGCATCTTCCCCAAATTCCAATGGAGCTCATCCAACCCCAGGGGTCTGATGGGTAGTGGGAAAGCACTCTGAGTGAGGGACCCTGGATCTAGTGTTGGTCTGACTAACTGTGACTCTGGGTGAGTCAGGAACCCTCTCTGGCTTTAGCTTCCTTTTTTTTTTTTTTTTTTTTCTAGAAACCCACAGCTGGAAGACATTGTCCACCTAACAGCTCTTTTTTTTTTTTTTTTTTGGGGCTAAATGCAGTATTGGTTTTTGCCTTATTGTTTTTTAATTTTTTTTTTTTTTTTTTTCCAATTATAGATCAATAGAATTAGAATTTTTGCAGATGAGGTTTTTTTTTTTTTTTTTTATAAGATCTTTAGGAGACTTCTAATGTGTAGGCAAACTTAAGTTTTTTTTTTTTTTTTTTTTCACTCTTCTTTACAGTTATTACATGTTGATTTATATTAGATTTTTTTTTTTTTTTTTTATTGAAATATCAGGGAGGAAATATTCTTTCACATTACCACTATTTTTTTTTTTTTTTTTTCTCATATTCTTTTCTAGTCTTTATTTATGTTTATACATATTTTTTTTTTTTTTTTTTTTTAATTATACCTGTTTTTTTTCTTTTCCGTGCTGAAATTATTCTTTGATGCTGCTACCTAAATTCCATAAATATAATTTCAATAAGTGCATATTTTTCTATCAATTTTTTTTTTTTTTTTTTACATAATCATTGGCCTGTTCTTAGACATTGATATAGTGTTGATTTTTTTTTTTTTTTTTTTTTCTTGCAGATGTATTTTTCTTCTTTTAAATAATTAACTCATTTTTTTTTTTTTTTTTTTAATTTAAACACTGATATCATTTTGTATACAAATAGCATCTATTTTTTTTTTTTTTTTTTATTGGAAACAATTTGCAGTGTGATTCATTATGCATAAATAAATTTTTTTTTTTTTTTTTTTACAGACATGGATTTAGTCTTTTAAATCATTAAATAGTGTGAGTTAAATCACATTCCTGCTAAAATGAATGTGAACTGGTGCCTGCCCTAATTTCTCTATGAGTGTAGACTCCACCTCCATATGGGTAGTAGCAGTGCCTTTTTTCCCATTACATTGTTTGGGGAACAGAGTGTTCATTAAACCTTTGTGGAATAAATCAAACGAACGATCCACTAGGAGTCTTTTTTTTTTTTTTTTTTTTCATTTTGCAATATGTAAGTGAAGAGTACATGACCTTTGCCTTTTTTTTTTTTTTTTTTGGAAGGAGGGTCTTAAGTGTAAGCTGTCCAGGTTCTGAGCCTTTTTTTTTTTTTTTTTTTCAAGATGCACAGAGTAACAAAGGAATGAAGCAGTGAAAGCAGTTTTTTTTTTTTTTTTTTAAGTGCTCCCCAGGGTAGAAGTGGCCCCGAGCAAGCGGCTCATTTTTTTTTTTTTTTTTTTTTCTGGGTTTTAAGTACTCTACGTGAGGTTCCTCTCAGTTATTTTTTTTTTTTTTTTTTATTTGGTTTGTGGCTACCTAAAGGCTGAGGTGAATTGGTGCCTTTTTTTTTTTTTTTTTTGGTCGTTTGTGATTGGCACATGACCAATCCAAGGCACTCTCCTTTTTTTTTTTTTTTTTTGTGGAAGGGGGAAGGCTGTGGGGAGAGTAGCCTTTGATCCTTTTTTTTTTTTTTTTTTTTAGATGGGGTTTTTCCTTTTGGTTTAGCTTTAGAAAATTTGTGTTTTTTTTTTTTTTTTTTCCTGACCCCAGCACCAGGAGTTTTCCTTTTGATCCAGTTTTGGGAAATCAGCACGAATCTGTTGTAGATTCCTTGATCCCAGACCTTGGTGTTGCTCCTTGATTTTTTTTTTTTTTTTTTTATGTTTCTCTCTCCAGACCCTATTCTCCTGCCTCGCTACTATTTTTTTTTTTTTTTTTTTACCTGTTAACTTTATCATCTAATATGAACTATCCTTTCAGCTTTTTTTTTTTTTTTTTTCCACTCTAGCTGTTTGAAAAGAAGAAGCTTTTTTTTCTTTCCTTTTTTTTTTTTTTTTTTCCCTTCCCTCCCCTCCCCTCCCCTCCCCTTCCCTTCCCTTCCTTTTTTTTTTTTTTTTTTTTTGAGACAGGGTCTCACTCTGTCAACCAGGCTGGAGTGGAGTTTTTTTTTTTTTTTTTTCTGTAGCCTCAACCTCCTCCCACCTTTGCCTCTCAAGTAGCTGGGACCACAGATGCATACCATCAGGACAGCTAATACTTTTTATTGTTTTTGTAGAGATGGGGGTCTCCCTGTGTTACCCAGGCTGATCTCGAATTCTTGGGATCAAGTGATCCTCCCACCTCGGCCTCCCAAAGTGCTGGGATTACAAGTGTGAACCACCACATCTAGCCAGGAAAAGAAGGAATTTAATGCAGGGAATTGTTTGCCCAGGTGATGGAAGAGCTGAGACACTAATTTGGGTTTTTTTTTTTTTTTTTTATGTAGCCACTATCACCTTATCTCTAGGTAGGTTCCCCAGAATTTTTTTTTTTTTTTTTTTTAAAATGTTTTAGGACTAGGCATCGTGGCTCACATTTATAATTTTTTTTTTTTTTTTTTCTGAGGTGGGAGCATCACTTGAGCCCAGGAATTTGAGATTAGTCTGGGCAACTTAGCAAGACCCTGTCTTTACACAAAAATAAAAAATTGGCAGGGCATGGTGGCATGCACCCATGGTCCCAGCTACTTGGGAGGCTGAGGCAGGAGGATCACTTGAGCCTGGAAGATCGAGGTTTCAGTGAGCTGTGATCAAGCCATTGTACTCCAGCCTGGGCAACAGAGTTTTTTTTTTTTTTTTTTCTCTAAAAAAAAAATGACAAAAAAAAAAAAGTTTTAGGAAGTTTTTTTTTTTTTTTTTTTTGAGGAAGTGGGACCAGGAAGGGAAGGAAGGCAAGCACGGTTTTTTTTTTTTTTTTTTTTCTCACAGGATAACTCTGGCTCAGTCTTGTAAAGGAGCTCTGGTTTTTTTTTTTTTTTTTTTGGAATTGTCCCTGTAAGGGGCAGTAACTGAGCAAGGGCAGCTTTTTTTTTTTTTTTTTTCATGAATTCCTGGGCCTTCAGGGGGTTAGTAGCTTGTGTGCATTTTTTTTTTTTTTTTTTGTGGTGGCCTGTTGGGAGTGGACGTGCCCCGCGAGTTCAGCCTAGGAAAATGGTACAGCACTCAGAGTGGATAAGGCAGAGCACTCGCAGGAGGGACTTGGATTTTTTTTTTTTTTTTTTGGGCCCAGAAGCCAGGACATTCAGGTTGCAGCACCTGAGTCAGGGCAGATGCTGAGGATGCTGAGTGGGCCACAATCATGTGAGGGGTGAGAGAGATGCTGGTTTTTTTTTTTTTTTTTTCTGTCTCTCTGCCCCATCCCTGCCCCCGTCTCTGCCCCCTGTTTTTTTTTTTTTTTTTTTCTTGACCAGGCAGCCTTGAGAATGTAGTCCCCTGTGCTACAAGTCAGGGCCCTTGACTGGGGGTGGATTTCGGGCAAATAGGTAGTTTTCTGCTTTCTAGCTTTTTTTTTTTTTTTTTTTCTTTGCTAGTTTGTGCATGTGGTTTTAAGTTTTGTATACGTGTTTTTTTTTTTTTTTTTTCAGTTGCTTTGCTTTATTCCTTAATGTGTCTTATTCTATTTCTTTTTTTTTTTTTTTTTTTTGTTTTTTAATTTTATTTAAATGTTTAATCCAGGGAGAAGATTTATTCTGCCACATGCTGTAAACTGTAGAAAAGGCTACTCCATTATCATGTTGCTGTCCTTTTTTTTTTTTTTTTTTTGCTAAATGATCCTCCTGCCTCTCCAAGTAGCTGGGACCATGTTTTTTTTTTTTTTTTTTCGGCTTATCCACTGGACCTCTGATTTCCTTAGACGTTACGTTCCCACATGGCACTGGCTCTGCATCTGGCCTTTTTGTTCCATTGCCATCTGTCTGTCCCTGTTTTTTTTTTTTTTTTTTCCTTGTGCTCTCATCTGCTTGCATGTCTGCTAATGGAACTGGTTTTTTTTTTTTTTTTTTTTGCATCTTTTTATTATGATACCTATTGATGTTTACCCAGAATTTTTTTTTTTTTTTTTTCAAAATCTATAAAATTCATGATGAGATTTTCACTAGGGTTGGTTTTTTTTTTTTTTTTTTGTGAGGAAACTGAGCTAAAGAGGTGAGATGACTATCCCAGTATTTTTTTTTTTTTTTTTTGACTAGAGAGCGGGTTTCCTAGCTGGGGTTCCCTCTCCCTGCTTTTTTTTTTTTTTTTTTATGGGCTGATCAGCCTGACAGTCTCCCAACAGTGCCTCTCCTTTTTTTTTTTTTTTTTTTTCCACTGAATTATTTCTAATCAGTAGTTTTTGGCAGTGAGACAGACCGAAAAGCACAGGGTCAGGCAGTGTGGGAAAGGTGCAGCATGGACCTAAGCAGAGGTTTTTTTTTTTTTTTTTTATTTTCTAGAGGGAACACGTGCATGTGGGGGAGCCTTTGCCATTTTTTTTTTTTTTTTTTCTCTCTCCCGCAGGGTTCCGGTGTTCAATATTGTCATTATCGTTTTTTTTTTTTTTTTTTGTAAGAGCCTGGTCTTCTCTGTCCTGTTTGCTGTCACGCTGAGGTCATTTGGACCCTAGACCCACGAACCCACGAGAACGTCCTCTGACTTCCAGCCATATCTTTTTTTTTTTTTTTTTTAGGGAGGAGGGAGGAGGTAAAAGGCGGGGAGTTAATAACATGTTTTTTTTTTTTTTTTTTAGGCTACTTCTAAAGTCAGCGTCTCACCTTCCTGCTCACTGCCCTCATTTCTCTAATAACCTTGGGTGGGCATTTCCGCCTCAGAAAAGAAGTTACAGCCCCTTTTTTTTTTTTTTTTTTATTCCACCAGCCACTTGGGGTTTGCATGAAGTACAGACAGATTTTTTTTTTTTTTTTTTTTTCTCTTGTGGGGGCTGTGACGTGCAGAAGGCACACCTGATATTTTTTTTTTTTTTTTTTTTGGACCATACAATTTTGGCCTGACCTGGACAGAGCTCCCACTACAGAAGCATCCTGCTCGCCCTATGCTGGGACTTCCTTTTTCTAGCATCAGACACTTGGTTTTTTTTTTTTTTTTTTGTTCTTTCCAACACTCCCAGGAAAGGGTGTTGAAGATCGTGGTTTTTTTTTTTTTTTTTTATCATGGTGAGAAAGTGCATCCTTCTCAGAGAAAAGAGTTAATTTTTTTTTTTTTTTTTTAAGAAATACTGGCAGGCTGAGATGGGATCCATAGGAGAGCATTTTTTTTTTTTTTTTTTTATCCTGTGTGCATTTATCGCTGGAGCCTGAAAATAGCCCCATTTTTTTTTTTTTTTTTTTGACTGGAACGAGGCCACATGAGTAAGTCACCGCCCACTGGCATTTTTTTTTTTTTTTTTTCTCCTTACCTGAAGGACCCCAAAGCCATATGGAATAGAATGATTTTTTTTTTTTTTTTTTTCTAAACGCCTCTTTCCTGTATCACACAAGGGGCAGGGATGGTGGGGTAAAAGCTCTCCCCACCGCGGAAGCTTCTGGAGGCTGTCCCCATGTGCTCGTCTATTTTTTTTTTTTTTTTTTCTCCTCCTCTCTCAGTCTGCTCCTGGAGCACCTGCTTCAGTTTCCATGCTCTCTCCAGTGCCCTCCTCTGTGAAGTAGGCAGGTGTTCAGGCCACCACGGAGTTTTTTTTTTTTTTTTTTTTTCTTGCAATCTCCCACAGATTTCAATCAGGATTTTGTTATTTTTTTTTTTTTTTTTTTCCCTTTAAGGGAAACGGGCCTCATGGATGGGGAAAGGATGGTTTTTTTTTTTTTTTTTTTTTAGTGATGTCCAGGGCAGATATTATCCTGAATTCCCAAGAGTTTTTTTTTTTTTTTTTTCATACAGTGTGTCTCATGTCAGGTAAATGTATTTTCACAATGTTTTTTTTTTTTTTTTTTACAATTCTCTGCACGCGGAGGTCCAGCTCCCAGCCTGCTCCATCACATAGGGACTTCCCCATTCCTCTGAACGCTGCTCTGTCAGAACCTGCCCAGGTAACGTTTTTTTTTTTTTTTTTTTGATTTCTGAACCCCAATTTTGGGCCCATTAGAAGATGTGTGTTTTTTTTTTTTTTTTTTCTGATGCTCTGGTGACAATCTTTGCAGAGGCACTAGATCCGGTTTTTTTTTTTTTTTTTTTTTATTTTCTTACCTAAAAGAATCAAGCAGCTCAGAGGCAGTTTTTTTTTTTTTTTTTTTGTTTGTATGCTGAGCTTGCTGGTCTGGAACCTGCACTTTAGCAATCCCATTGTTGCTCCTGTTTATGAGGTTGACAAAGTGCCAGGGCAAGGGGGTATTATCTTTTTTTTTTTTTTTTTTGAGGCGGAACACACGAGGGCGGTGTTTCTCAGAGGTCTTTAGTTTTTTTTTTTTTTTTTTTCCTGGAGCATAAAGCAAATGCTTAGAGTCCAGGGCCCCTGCTTTTTTTTTTTTTTTTTTTATACAGCTCCCTCTTAGTGAATCTCAAGCTTGTTTCCAAGATTTTTTTTTTTTTTTTTTGAAAGCCCATGACACATTCCTAGAGATTGATGCAGATGTAACTTTTTTTTTTTTTTTTTTCATGCCTGTGTGCTTAACTTATTATAGATCAAGTGTTATTTATTTTTTTTTTTTTTTTTTTGCCTGAAATACTATATGCATTAAATTGGAAGACAAATGGCCTTTTTTTTTTTTTTTTTTTTTGCACTTACAGGCCATGCCATGCTCCATCCTCCCCATCCTTTTTTTTTTTTTTTTTTTTGTGGCTAAACCAGCAGGCTCCTTGGCTGCCAGTTTCTGGCTGGTTGAACCAATGGGAAACATGAAAGGAGAGCCAAGGGTGGTGAGAGAGTCAGATCAGGGTTTCTGTCCTCAGGGCTCTCTCCCTGGGAGGTGGTGGCAGGAGTGGCTGCCTTCCTCTCTTTTTTTTTTTTTTTTTTTCTTACCAAAGAGTTCCCATCTCTGAGTCCAGCCACCTGCTCCATCTTCTCCTCTGTAGGCCCAGTGGTGGGAACGGCCCACCACTGTTGCCAGCCTCAGCATACTGAAGCACCCCTTACTGCATTCCCTAAATTCTATGCACATGTTTATTAAATACTCTTCAATTACCCAGTTTCAATGAGCCGCCGGTGTCTTGCTGTTACCTTGACTGATACAATAGTGTTTTTTTTTTTTTTTTTTAGACCTTGGAGGAAAACAATATCTGGGTTTGAATCCCTGCTCTTTTTTTTTTTTTTTTTTCTGATCTTGGGTGACTCAGTTAACCTTCTGGGCCTCAATATTTTTTTTTTTTTTTTTTTTCATGATGGTGCCTAACCATGCCAGTGATGATTCTGGACGCTATTTTTTTTTTTTTTTTTTGGCTATCTAAAACAGCAAGGGAATTCTAGAGGGATATCAGTATTTTTTTTTTTTTTTTTTGCTGGGGGATTGGGTTTGGAAAATGGGCAGAAGCCAAGAGAGAATGGACAGCAGAGGCCACACGAGACAGTCTGGCCATGTTGCCATCAATGCCACTGCCCCTTTTTTTTTTTTTTTTTTTGCTATTCCTAGACTCTGAATCCTAAAATTGCCTCTGAGTAAGTCATCTCCAACTGGCTCTGCATTTGTGTCTCATCTGCAGATCTGGGGTCCTGGGCAGAATTTTTTTTTTTTTTTTTTTTGGGTCAAGTCACGTGCCTGCAGCATAGCTGCCGGGAGAAGGGTGGGAGGAATAGCTGCTTCCGTCCTCAATAGAAGGGGAAGCAGGGCTCTGCATCTGTGTTTTTTTTTTTTTTTTTTGCCTGTACCCCCAAAAGAAAAAGGTGTTTGGCGCTGGAGAGTTTTTTTTTTTTTTTTTTTCATTATACCAGCTCCCAATGTTGACAGGATCCAAGGAGATGCTTTTTTTTTTTTTTTTTTACACAGTAGGACTTCAATCCATGGTGGTTACTGCTATCACTGTTTTTTTTTTTTTTTTTTTGCCTGTGCCTGGACAGGGTAGCTCAGGGAAGCCCATACCTGTTTTTTTTTTTTTTTTTTTGAGCCCCCGAGACATGCTGCAGGGCCCATCTTACCTATACGTTTTTTTTTTTTTTTTTTTCAGCTTGGACTCTTTGCCTCGGAACCACCTAAGCTGTTGTTAAAATACAGATGCCTGGGCTCCTTCGCAGATCTGCCAAGTCAGAATGTCTGGGGGTGGAGCCTGGGTGTGTACGTGTGCTACACTTCCTGAGTGAAGCCACGTGCCTGTGCTTGGGAACCTTTTTTTTTTTTTTTTTTAAAGAGGGCAGGTTCAGCAGAAAGGCTTGAACCCAGCCTTGTTTTTTTTTTTTTTTTTTTTTGCACAGTACCATTTCACAGGGAGACTGGGGTGCAGGCTTGTGGGTTGTAGGGGTCAGTGGTCAGTGATGAGGAGGTTGGTGGCCTGAGGGGGTGAGTGACTTTTTTTTTTTTTTTTTTGGGTGGGTCTAGACTCACCATGGTGCAAAAAGGGAAGCAACTTTTTTTTTTTTTTTTTTTTGTGACATCATGATGGCAGGAAGGAAGCTGTCACAAGGGTGGTTAGCCTGCCTCTCTTCTGCATTTTCCTGAGCTGTTCCCCCAGTCACATTTCCTCCAAGGTTTTTTTTTTTTTTTTTTACTGCCCAGCCTCATGGGGAGATGGTGACCATGTATGTGGGGTTTTTTTTTTTTTTTTTTAGAAGAGGCCCTGGGCCAGCCGGCAGACAACACATCTAGGTGTTTTTTTTTTTTTTTTTTGCAGGGCTCGGGGGGTGGCCCTGGTGGCTGCTGCTGCTGCTCTTTTTTTTTTTTTTTTTTGTAAGGAGAGTGGGTAAGCAGGCTGGGCAAGAGGGCACCAGGTTTTTTTTTTTTTTTTTTCCAGCAGAAGTGCCCACTAGTGGGAGTTTCCTCTCATATCTTTTTTTTTTTTTTTTTTTTGGTCAGGTAATGTGGTACAGATGGGAAAGGGAAAGGAAGGCAATGCATGCAGACTGTGCTAGTCCACCCTGACTCAGGAGGGACTGGGAGATGAAATAGATGTTTTTTTTTTTTTTTTTTCATCTTGAAGTTGAGAGAATTAGGTGGATCCAGCCAAGCAATTTTTTTTTTTTTTTTTTTTATCCTGGGAGATGTAAAGAAAAGCAAGGCAAAGTCTCCCCTTAAAAAAGCATGCACTCACTGTGCAGAGGAGGCATTAGTAGAGCATAAGGTAAATAACAGTTTTTTTTTTTTTTTTTTCATGAAAACAAAACTTCTGTGGAAGTCACTAGCAAGACAACGTTTTTTTTTTTTTTTTTTGGATAAGAGTTCTGGAATCAGACAGGGCTGCGGCAACAAATCTTTTTTTTTTTTTTTTTTACGTATGTGACCTTGAGTAAGGTTTGTAACCTCTATTAGGCTCAGTTTCCTCATTTGTAAATGGAACTGACTCACAGGTATGTATTTGTAGGTGGCACCTACTTTTTTTTTTTTTTTTTTTAATTAAACAGTGGATGGATGGAAAGCCCTTGGCTCAGTATTTTTTTTTTTTTTTTTTTTTAAATTTTTTTTTTTTTTTTTTTTTTTAGATGGAATCTCACTTTTTTTTTTTTTTTTTTTGCACTGGCATGATCACGGCTCACCACAACCTCTGACTCCCTGTTTTTTTTTTTTTT